TAGTATACCCCCCAGGCCTCTGGATGTCTTCTGTCAATCAACATGAAAATAATGCATCTATCACAAAGGGCCATGAAAATATGATTTGAAAAAGTGGTATTGTGGTCTTGTGGCTTAACATCCAATCTAAGGGGTAAATTGATCCATCTGACCAATTGACTTTTTCAAGTTGAAACTTGAGTTGTGTGGTAGGAATGTTGTTTCTGTCCGTAATTCAAAGCCAGTTCACAGATTTATTTGGATTGAGGCCATGGAACTGGTCAGCAGTTTTTGGATCTGGTCTGAAGCCCCTTCTCTCTCCTGTGTGAAGCCCCTCTCTCCTCTGATGTTCCTCTGTACTACTGTTTTCACTTCCTTTCCTCCTTCCTCTTTATGTCTCTACCCAGGGTGGACTTTCTTGGCATGATGGCTTTTCTACAATGTTTAAAACATCAAAAACTTAACTTAACTTCAGTGCCTCATGAATTAAGCTGAACCACAGACACTTTTTTGGATACAAACTAGCTGAGTCATTCATGCTAATCTTTAGCTAAATGATTCTCATGGTTTTACACCTTGCTAAATAACCAACATGTATGATACATATTTCCAGACCTCGATACGTTTGTTTTGACATAACAGTAATTATACCTGACATGTTGAAAATTAACTTTGACGAGCAGAACATGGTTTATTTTCAGATTAAGAATAAATAAAAAATAAAATGACATTACAAATAAAATCACATAAAAGGAATTGATTTTATAAAATATATTAAAGGTTGGGTAGGTAATTCACTTCAGAAACACTTTTTGTTATATTCCATGGAATGCTCTTAACATCCCGATAGCAATGAATATATTAAATGCTTTGACAATAAATCCATACAAAAATGTCATCTGTGGAAGCCGTAGTACTGTAAAAAGCACGACCAATCATTTTAGCCGGCCCGGCTAAAATAACTGGATGGCCTACCTGCCTGTCAGCCTTCCATCTGTGCATAAACTTATCTCGTGCCCTCATTGGTCATGTGCGCGTTCGTGTGTGTTGGAGGAGGGGCTCTGTAAGGAAGTCTGAAGGAAGGGGCAGATTTTTTCCGGTTGTGTACTTTCAAATTCTAGCGCACTCGAACTGGTTTCTCCATTCTTACCTACCCTATAAGTCAGCACATTTTACATAACTGTATTAGGTTAATTAAAAGCAATAATATTAAGTTGAACCCAATATTTTGTATTTATACTTAATATTATTGCTTTCAACTGACCCAATACAGTTATGTGAAATCTCCCTTCCGCTGTACAATAGCTGCGCACTGCTCTAGTACTAGGATGGGTTAAAAGCAGAGAACACATGTCACTGTGTGCATGTGTATGTGTGTGCCCATTAAAGAGGGTTTCATCCTCCAATTCTATCTATCTATCTGTTGACTTAATACAACTTAATCAGTTTTTTCAGTGTGACTTAAAGGGGACCTATCATGCAAAATGCACTTTTGTACGTCTTTTATACATGAATATGTGTCCCCGGTGTTCCAGGGAACTCACCAAGTGTCAGAAAACACAACCCTCTCTATTTTCCTCCATACCCAAATCTCTAAAAAAGGGGCTGCAACGGATCTGATAAAAACTGATCCAGATTTGAACACTGTCCTGACGTCAGGACAGTGGCGCTACAGCTATTGGGCCAACTCCACCAATCAGGAGGAGACAGCCACGGCCATTGCCGTTCGAAAGCGCTGGAGACGCTGTAGTACATATGCCAGGCCAGTAGATGGTGCTGTTCTCACAGAATCAACCCTTGCAAAAACAGAGCTAAAAAATGTCAAATTGAGCAAAATGAGGCATGGCTAAAATGCATGATCTGTTTGGTATTTTGAAAAAAAAAAAGTATAAATATGCCTTATATAGGTATGGTCCTATACTATATTATTCAAATATAGCATGATAGATCCACTTTAAAGAGCCGACAGATTGTGCAGGTCGTTTATATGCATGTGAGTAGTAGAGGGGAGGCCTGGTTGGATCAGAGATCAGTTTGATATTAACAGGAGGGTGCTGCCTGCTGATCTGCAGCTGCAGGCCTCTGATCCTCCACTGGGCCGCGCTGTTCTCCAGCACACTGTCTCTGTACACCTGCTGACACACCACCGCTCCTCATGGCCATTAAAACAATGAATGATCATTTATTTAGAGGTATGTATAATGTTTGAGAAAATAATTTTAGGACATTAAACTTTGGAATGTCTCAGCAGTTATTGGGCTTACCTGGAAATATGTAATATACAGGTTTAGAAGAGTTACTTACAAATAATCTGTTACATTTAGTTACCTGTAAATACAAAGTGATCAGTGACAGTAATTGAGTATCAAAATGAATACAACTAAGAGTAATGTAACCTGATTACTTTTCATTACTCTTGGAATACCTCAAAGAGACAATAAATATAAATATTTAGTAACATTGTAATCCTGATAGTAATCCCTATTTTTCTGATTATGTCTTTGTAAACTAACTGTAAGCGAATGCAGTCGCTTTTTATTTTATGTAATCCCGTTGCAGTTAATGCAGGTATCATTGCAGTACCTCACCCTCACTTAAAACAATCTAAAGAAAAATCTACATATGTACTAAATATCAGCACAAATGTGGACCACAAATAGATGAGATACAAATTGCTATCCTCACCTTAGACAACTGGCTAACCCCTAACTGAAGACATCTCCAATGTTTTTGTTTGTTTCATTGTGTTAAACCCCTCTTGAGAGAAAGGCATCGAGTTTAAGACGCTACGACCTGACCCTGTAAACAGCCCCTTCCTCAGGTTGGAATATGTTAATAGGTAAATCATTGTATATGAACAATTTGTAAAAAATAATTATATGACTTTTATCAATTGCGGTATATTGGAAGGATGATCATTATTGCATCATTATTCTCATTGAAAAATATATTATGATGAAGATAGTGTGATATTTTTAGAGGATCTGAAGCAAGCAAATTAGTTTTGTCTCCTCAGCACCATAATACTTCATATCAAATGGTATTTGAACACATATTTAGCCTTTAACAAATATTTTTCTTTCTCTAATTTGAAGTCCATATTGCCATGACGATGACATTTAGATTGATTGTGCAGCCCTAGTACATACACTCTGAGTGTTAGAGTTTGGGTTGTACAACACTTTTCCTAAACTATTGACACTGATCGCATTGCTTGATGGTCATGTCAAGTTCAGATTTGACTGAAGATATCATCTCTGAATGAGATCCCTCCCGGGGCATGTCAGCCTCTGAGCTGCAGGCCATGATCAAACCCTCTCTTCCAAATCCTCTTCGACAGAGAAAGAAAACCGGTGTAAATGATGGCAGCACTTTTCTCTTCAATATTTAGCAGGAGATGTACACTGAAAACAGAAAGGGACTTATGGGAAATGTATGTATGGCTTTTTCTAAACAGTTACCCTACAAGACTACATTTTCAGATAAAAACATACATTTTAAGTGAACAAGAAGAAAATGAAGACCCTCTGCTTACAACTCAGGTTTCTACTGATGTTATAACTTATAAGATCAACATTACCTACAAACAGAGAGGAAATCATCACCTTTCATTTTGCATGAATAACAAAAACCTACCTGCTTCCTTCTGTATGGCAAACTCACACTGTGTTATTCTTCTTAATACTATTCATCTTATATAAGAGGAAATCGCTTACAAAGTGGCAGAAATTGGTCTTTTCATGACTCCATGAAAACATGCACTGAAAAAACTAAAACATTGACTTTAATTAAATGTATTATGTCAACAGATTTCAACTAACCTAATACATGCAAGTTATGTGAAATGTGTTGACATAATACATGTAATTCAAGTTAACGTTTCAGCTTTTTCAGTGTATACAGTGTGTACATTTAACTCAGCAAGTAGTAGATAAACTGATAGTATAACACCTGTTTTATAGCTCAGGTAGATGTTGGGAAAACCTTTTTTAAATGAGGCTCAAAGTGCAGAGAAGCAGCTCTTCTCTGAGAACAGATGAGCGGCCGGTGCTGACCCTGCTGATGATAATTGATTTGCTTCAGCTAAATGATATATCCTACCTTACACTAAGCCTTAATTGTAGGGTCACTGTGGTAAATGGTGGCAAATTGCAGGGTTCTCAGAAATGATATTTTAACTGCAGTGCAGACATGGACATGTATAATTCACTTTAAACAACATTTTTGAAAGTAAATATAAGAGTTAAAGTGACGTGATTTTGGATGTGATCATAAAACACTGGAAATGCAGGACTTTCTAAAATGTTTCTTTGTTATTTGGAGTGGGCTCTCATATGAAGAAGCAGAATTGTATTATGTATTAGTGGGATGGACCTGACAGCAGGGGGGGGGGGGGCTGTGTAATGTCAGAGTTAAATATGCAGCAGGTCTGAGATGGACGACAGGTGTCCTTTTTCTCTCCATGTGTAAGCAGCCGCTGCAGGAGGGGTGTGTCCCGTCCCAGGTCAGATAGTTCTGATTGTAGTGATAATGAAAGGTACACACTGTTTGATACAGGGGTGTAGGTGAAGCCGGACATTAAGGTCAGTGCAGCAAATCAATAAGAAGAACTGGATTTTGCATCAATATGATGAGAAAGGCTGGCTCGATTTGTCAGAAACAGAATTAGACAGTCGACTATTAACTTTATCTTTAATTAACATGTGATTTAATGCGCAACACGCATAACACAATATAATAACACACCAAAGAGTCAAATACAAAAAATATATAATATAAAAATGAACAGAAATAAATTAAATGCATTTGAGTAATTATTAATATTATTTTGATTATGATTTATGAATTCAATGTAACAATTATCAAAACAGTAATTGTATTATTATTTATTATTATTATACATTTTTATACATTTTTATTTTTATTTTTCAATGAAGAATAACAAGTTCTAAGTTGACTTAAAACTACATACACTGGATCACCATATGCATATACATTGCAATTATTACAAAAACTTAAAGAATTGGTGCCGTCTTAAGCAAGTATTCAAATGTTTAGACAGTCAGTCAGTTTTAAACGTTTTAAACATATATTTTTGTATGTGTTCCCGTGGTTTATGACAACTGAAATCAAACAATACATGAATAAATGATAATTTAATCATTTTATGTCATATTTATTCTAAGTGTCCCCAGGTCGCAGCGGTTCGCCTCAGCCTGTAGGCCTACTGTCATACTGTCAGTATATTGACGTGTAGTTAGCAGATGGAGCAGGGGGCTGATCTCCACCTCCAGAGGTCATCCTCTCTACAGTCACCACTTGTTGCCAGAGCAGCTCGGGGCTCCAGCATTCAGCAGCAAACACATTTCAAGTATTTATTCCGCCTATCGAGACCTACATGTCTGGATGTTGAATGCGGAACGTTACGCGGACTGAAGCAAGACTCCTGTGATCCGGTTCCTAATATCTGGCGCATCTGACGGACAGAAGCATGGTTGATAATATAGCTACTAAATCTGCTTTGGTAAGGGTCCAGGCTTCTATTGGATTATTACACCTAACTACTTTACATAGTTTTCTATTCCAAATGCATTCATAACTAATAATGTAACTCCATTAGGAACTTTGTTTGTCGACAGTTTATCGGCTCATTTAGTGAAGTTTGTCACGTTCGCTTGTATGAGTAAAATGCAATCCTCTTTATGTTACAGCAGCGGTGAGCCAAACTGTGTAATGAGGCTAATTGGTGGAGCATGTGTTTTAATCGTATAAAGTGCCGCTGATAATAATTTCGCCACCGCCCTCTCCCCGCAGCAAGGCTCTTTCTCGTCCGCCAGCAGCCTTCCCCTGCCCGCTCCCTCCGCATCCTCTCACAGCCTCTTCCCCGGCGCACAGTCCCAGCAGCCCGCCAGCGGAGGCATGAAGCTCGAAGCCGTCATGGAGAACCTGCAGCGGCAACAGGCGGCGCGGCTGGCCCTGGAAGAGAAGCTCCGGCAGGCGGAGACAGAGAAAGACCTCCGCTCCATGGTGGAGTCCCAGATCCACCAACAAGCTCTGGCTTTCCGACACTACCAGGCGGCGATGCGCGGCGCCCTGGCCGCCGGAGTTGCCAACTCGTCCCCCGGGGTGACGCTCCCACACATGGAGGTCCGAAGAGCCGACGAGGACAGCTCCAGACCGGGCAGCGACGACAGGGAGCGGGACGATGAGGGAGAGGACATGGATGAGCAGGACCTGTTGGATGAAGACGAGGAGGGCGAAGAAGATGTCGGTTTGAACCACTTCCAGCACCGGCAGTCCTCGCTCCTGCAGGGAGCCTGCATGCCTCCGAAGAGCACCCCGATGCATCTCATGGCCAGAGTCCCGGCGGCCTTCGCCCCGGGCCGGCACGCAGAGTCTCCATCGGCGCCCCCGCCCCAGCACCACGACTGGACCTACGAGGAGCAGTTCAAACAGGTAGGACAGCCCGAGCTGCTCACACTGAAAGTAGCCGAAGTTACTCCACTGTTTGACCTTCTCCAGTCATGTATGTGCGCTCTGAATAACTATGCGGGTTCTTCATTAGATTTGCCGTCTATTTAAAAAACAAGCTTGTGCCATCTTAGCCTTCCTTTACGCATTTGGATACATTGTTTTTGAGTGTCACTTCATGTTGCTGTATTTTGCATTCTGAAGAAAAACATGGTGATGAAGAGTCTGTTATCCAAAGGCTCTGTGTCGAATGTATTTGCAGATAATAATGAAAATGTTAAATGGTAAATATGTTCATCTATCAGTTTCTGTTAGAATGAGGCTTTCTAACAAACTGCGAAATTAGTCCATAATAATCAAAGTGTTAATGCTCAGCTATAGATCAGATATAAAAAGAACAACTCATAAGTTGACAAGTTGTGAAGATTCACAGCAGCTCCAGATTCCTTTATTTACATCAAAACAAGCAATATTTGATAGGACACAAACTAATATAACTGTATTAAAATGACAGACTATAAAGTACTCAGCTATTTACAATTAATAAGAACACGTTTCTGGTTGCCTGTTTTTTAAAAAGGCGTTCCCTTGTGTCTATTGTTTATATGGCAATAATGCAGTTAAAAATGTTGATGGTACATTAAAAAAATAAATAAAAAGGATATTGCTTCAAACATTTCCATTAGACAAGTTGCCATATATGATCGCTCAAATTGACTTTTTACAAACTAATGACCAAAGGTTTTTCCTGTTAATGTCGTATATCTAGAAAACTTAATTTGTAATGAAGCCATTATAAAGAAGAATTCATGATTTGCTCTTTTATTTTGTTAGCAGCTGGTTAATGACACTGAGTTATTTGATTGATATACGGCTGTGTGTATGTTTCCAGCCGGCAGCAGCAGATCTATACTCTGTGAGCGAGTGTGGATGCTCCATGTCATCCTTTATTTATGATGGATCATTTACAGACTTCCCTAAATGTGATGTGTACATTAGTGACTGCATTAGCGCTGCACATTAAAGCAGCCCAATGCATGGAAATGCAATTTAAATAGGGGCTGAAACCAATAGCCTCAATATAGAGATAATTATGTGTGGAGGATGGTGAGATGAGTGTGTGCAGAGAACGCTCAATCGTCGTTTTCTCTTCACATCTATGCGTCATTAATGCTGTATTTTATAATTAATCTTCAGCTCTATAGTCATGTTAGTGGATAGCTTGCTTGACATTTGCCATCAATGAGATCTGATGGTAAGTTAGCGTTCATTTCTTAAGTTACTACATCTTATAAACAACAGAAAAGCTTCAGCGAATAGATTTAAAATCTACCAGTTATTATTTTTATTATACATGTTCTTGTTTCCCTGTGTCCGTACATGTGTGCTCCATGTAACATCAGGCAGCACGCATGAAGGATTCCTCAGGATGTGCAGTTATTGTGGGGTCATTTGTATGTAGTCATTCAATGTAATGGTCATGGGACAATAAAAGGATGCTTATGGCTGCTAGGCAGACAGAGTGGAGCCAGCATAGTAAGCATGCTCAAAGCTGCAAAACAAAACCACATTTGAAGGCAGTAAATGCATCTTTGGAAATAGGAACAAGATGTGGGCTAAATATAAAAAGGCCTAAGTGAGGCGGAGAACTTTTAATCTGATCTGAACCAAATGGGAGCAGGCGGTGTTTACAGTAGCTGCTAAATCACATGTGTTCACCTCAGGCACAACAGGAAGGCGTGTCAGGCAAGAAAACATTACATTAATAAACATACATATAAAAAAAAACACATATTTTTTTACATAACATTACATTTTCCATTGCTAAATAGAAACAAAAGGTAACCACAACCTAAATATTTATTGTACAGAATGATGACAGGCTGGTGAAACTTATTGAGTTGAGTATTGAGTTTTAATGACCCAGCAGGAGACGACGCAAAGAGATAAGAGTGTAAAACATAAAATAAATTCCTGGTGACAGAAAAAGATGCTGACGACAAAAAGATGCAAGGCAATGAGAGTGTGTGAGGCTGGAGGAACGGAGGGAGAAGCGTGGAGCTTTGGCAGAGGCTCAGGAAATGCAGGAAACTGGATCTGGTGGTATTCCAGCCTGGCTCACACCCAAAAACGCTGGGATCTCCCTGTCTGGCAGCAGCGTGTGTGTGTGTGTTCGTGTTCGTGTGTGTGTGTGTGTGTGTGTGTGTGTGTGTGTGTGTGTGTGTGTGTGTGTGTGTGTGTGTGTGTGTGTGTGTGTGTGTGTGTGTGTGTGTGTGTGTGTGTGTGTGTGTGTGTGTGTGTGTGTGTGTGTGTGTGTGTGTGTGTGTGTGTGTGTGTGTGTGTGTGTCTGTGTGTGTCTGTGTGTGTCTGGGAGTCGGCTCTGTGCCAAACTATTACGAAACAGAAACAAAAACGCGTGCTGCTACACACTCGGCCATGCTTTCTCTCTTCAACACACACCCTTACAATCGTGCAGATATGTGAGCATGCAAATTGCACTTCTCAGTATCCTCTTAAAAATGAACCAATGACAGAAAGAAAATGTAATAGTGCACACTGAATAAACTAAAACGTTGACTTAATTAAATGTATTATATCAACAGATTTAACATAACTGTATTAGGTTAGTTGAAAGCCATACTATTAGGTTTGAATATAGATTATTAGGTTCAACTTAATATTATTGCTTTTAACTATCCTAATACCGTTATGTGAAATTTGTGACACTATACATTTCATTAAAGTCAACGTTTCAGCTTTTTCAGTGCATTATCTTTGGCATGTACAGCCTTGTGTTTAATGGTCACTATAGACTAAACTTTGAACTTGCTTTTAGTGTTGTCAAACCTCTGCTGCTGAATGTGCACATGGATCGTAATCCGCAGCGCTTTACCACACGGCAATAATGTGACCAAGAAGAATGAAAGCAGATATAATGTTCATGTGGCGGGCTGTGGTCTCTGCAAGGTGATTTTCAGAGTGCACTGGAACAGTCTGGAATGAAGAGAAAGACAATGTCACCAATGTTACCTGTCAGTAAGAAATATTACAACACTTTTTGGATTTGAAGAACATTCTCATAAAGTCTGATCCTGAAATATATGTGCATGATTTCTTCACTAAATTCACTGCATCATGAGGACATTTTCTGACTATACTTATATGGGAAATCTTTGTATTAGTACTGCTCCTTTATCTGCAGAATATCATGCATCTTCAAAAGCGATAATGCAAGGCACAGCACGCGTATCAGCAAGTTGTTTTTCAGACATAAGAATTATTGTCCAATACTACCAGACTTCAATCATTTCCTCCAGTCAAATGTATTTCCCTAATTAGTGTTAGTGTTCCTACTCCGTGATGTTTAAAGACAGTCATTTCTAGAGGCTTCACTGAAAAAAACTGAAACGTTGACTTTATTATTAAGTACGTTGATATATATATGTTTTTTTTTAAACATAAAACGATTGCTTTCATCTAATCTAATACAGTTAGGTGAAATCTGTTGACATAATGCATTTAATCAAAGTCAGCATTTCAGTTTTTTCAGTGTTAGTTGAGGGCTGAATTTCTGAATTTGAGACGAAAGGACTTGTTTGAACAGTTTCTCTTAAATCAGTAGAGCAGTTTCGTGTCTCGTGTCCTTCTCAGAGACTCCACAGACAGACAGTAAAGCTGATTGTGAACCAGACGAGACATCTCCCTGTCACGATGTGTCAGTATACAGAGCCACTCCTTGTTGTGGATTGTACCTCTTCCAGCTTGTTTTTCCAACAACTATAGAAAAGTGGTGGAGTGGGAGCGTCAGCTGTACCGGTGTATGATTTCAATCCCCTCCCCCCCCCCCCCCAGGCCACTCAAATTATCCACACTGCTAAAATGAGTCCTTTTAGGCAAATCAGGTGAATGTTTTCAGAACAGTCATCTTTATTCACCTGCAGCTACTGAATGTACTATAGCTTATTTCAAATACTGTCAGTGTTTTTTGAAGTGGATTCAAATTGAAAACAGATTTTAAATCTTACCAATATGGCAATTCATTCAGTTGTTTAGACTCAAGCATGTAATAACAGACAAGATGAATTTATAAGATATTTGTTAAATGGCTCTTTTCCCCAATAAGTAGTGTAAAAACAGAGACTGTGTACCGTTCATTTATTATATAGAATATAGATGATATGGTAGCCTATAGCCAAATATTGACAACTGTAAGGGAACTGTGCAGTGAGGCCACAAACACATCACGGGATTGCTTTCATGAGGATTCTTTGAAGGACCAGATCTTAGATGCAAACATTAGACCTTTCTGCCAATTTCTCAATGCATTTTCTATTGATCTTTCATTCGGTTTCAATTAGGGCTTCATTTTGAAGGCAGATACTGGTATTGATATGTAGGTAATTTAAAATAACAATGTAAAGCCTTTTATTCATCATATACGTTTAGTTTATTATTAACCCAAATTGGGATCAATAAAGTATATGTAATCTAATCTTATTACATTAAAAATACTCATTTCCATTGGTTGTCCCCAGGCAACACACATTGTCAATGAGAATCCTGTAAATGTGGTATTTCAAGAATTGTGACCAGGTATGTGCTACATAGAGTGTCGGTGTAAGAATGAACATGTCAGTGCTCTCTGGAGGTGAAACTGTTTCTAAACCACCTCAAACATAACTTTGCATTTCTGTATTGGCATATCAGTTAACCTAGATACTAAATATCCATCATAAACTCAAATTGGCCGATTTATAAACCCAGACAATTTATTGGTTAAGATTTTGTTTCAGAAAGCTGTTCCTTGCTGCAGGAATGCAAATGAAACTGTTCATATACATTTTTTAGGTGAGGGATCTTTTTATTTTCATGATTCTGGTTAGCACTTGAGATCTCGAGCAGAAATATTCAATGCATTATACCTCTTCACAAAATGAAAATAAAGTACTGCTTTCAGCGTGTTGAGGAAGGGTCTTTGTTTTGAA